TATGCTAGAGGGTAGAGGTAGGATTCAGAGAGACCTCAACACACTGGATTGGGCTGAAATAATTCTTACAAAGTTCAACAAGGACAAGTGCAAAGCCCTGCACTTAGGACAATATAAACCCATGCTGGGGTTGTACAGGCTGGGGATTGACTAGCTAAGCACCAGCTCTGCAGGAAAGGACCTGGGGGTCACAGTGGACAATAAGCTGGATATGAGCCAACAGTGTGCCCATGCTGTCAAGAAGGCTAACAGCATATTGGGCTGTATTAGTAGAAACACTGCCAGCAAATCAAGAGGAAGCAATTATTCTCCTCTATATGGCATGGATGAGGCTATACCTGGAGTCCAGTTTTGGGCCCCCACTACAGAAACTGTGTGTTCACATTGGTGAGAGTCCAGGAGAGGGCAACAAAAATGGTGAGGGGGACATGACTTATGAGGAGAGGTTGAGGGAACTGGGCTTATTTAGCTGGAGAAAAGAAGAAAAGAGGAGGGATGAAACAGCAGCCTTCAATTACCTGAAGGGTAGAACCAGACTCTTCTCAGTGATGACGAGTAATAAGGAGCAATGGGCTCAAGCCACAGCAAGGGGAGTTGAGGTTAGATATCAAGAGAAATTCTCTCACTAGGAGGATCGTAAAGTACTGGAACAGGTTACCTAGAAAGGTGGCAGAATCTCCATCCTTGGAGATTTTTAAGGCCAAGCTTGATGAAACCCTGGCTGGGCTGATCTAGCTGGGGCTGGCCCTGCTTTGAGCAGGGGGGTAGACTAGATGACCTCCTGAGGTCCCTTCCAACTTTCATTTTCTATGAATCTATATTCTTCCACTCAAAAGCAAGATGTGTATTATATTCTGCGGTGTGTTGTATGTGAGGAAATATGGTATTTTTGTAGCCCAAAGAATCCTTAGGTCAGAGGTGCCCCACACAAGCATAGACCCCCAGCCCAGATTAGTTGTGGGACTGGGCTTGGCCCCTTACAGAATGCATCAGGGGCACAAAGCTGGTACTAGAAACTATAAATTCCACTATGAAGCAAGAAGATGCTGCTTTAAATCACTTGCCTCTATCATAGACAGGACCAGCCTTACGGGCTGGGTCTGCATGGAGCCCAGGACAGCAGGGCCTTGATTTTGGCTGGAAGCTCTCAGTGCTGCTAGCAATCACAAGTGCCAAGCACCAGTAAGGAAAGCACAGGCTCCCAGCATGCTTAACTAGGTACCAGACTGGGGCTGGTCAAGGGCTAAGGGGTTGAGTCGAGCTGCAGCATTAACAGGCACATCCATGGAAGCTTGAGGGAAGGAATGTGGAGCATCCCATGACTGCAATGGGCTGGGCACTCACCAGGTCAGGGTGTGGCAGCTTCTTGGTGAAGATGCGCATGGAGCCCTGGAAGACGTCAGTCACGATGGCTGTGGAGACACCGAGTGAGGGACCCATGAGTGGGCACCAAGAAGCTCAGAGCGAGGGCAGGCAGGAGAATATGGAGGGGGTAGCATAGATAAATGGTGCCCAACCTATTCATCCCACAGACTGGATTTGGGTCCATGGGCCTGTGTAAGAACCCAGCTGGATGGAACCAGCCCGGCCAGGGCCAACCCTGCTGTGTGGGGCTTGGAAATTTGTTACTGTGGGGGGAGAAGGGAGAGCAATGGTGGAGTTTATTACTGCCACTCCCAAATTTTTGCACCCACAGAAAGACCCATGGGTCAGATTCAGCCAGGGATTAAGTAGCCCTGGCGTAAACAACAGTAAGTGGCTTGAAGCAAGGATGGTACAGAATTATCTAGAGCAGGGGTATCTAGGTAACTGTGCTGCCAGATAACCTGAAGTAATGCAGCCAGTATTTGAGGAAGGAAATGACTTAGAAGGTTTCACCCAATCCCATGTTCCCAAGTGTGGTGGAAGCTGCCAGGGAAACCCCAAAGCAGCAGACATGCCACCCCAGCACCTCCATCATCCAGCCACTGGCTTGGATCTCCCAATTTTCCCCCGGTAACATGGAACCCTCTACCCTACCCATTACTAGAAGGCTGGGGTGACAGCTCAGGCAGCACTGATGGCAGAAAGACTGAGGACAAAGTGGCATCTGTTTATATTAAGCCATAGGCTGCAGAATGCAAGGCTGTGGATAAGACCACCTGGGTACTGAGGGAGGTGGGGCAGAAAGCTGGGGCAGGGCTTGGGGGTATATAAGCCCAGCCTCTGGATTTGGGGAGTGGGGTGTCTGTGGCTGCCCCAGGGCAAGGAGCTCTGAGCCAGGCTGCAGGTGAGGTAGCTGGTGGGCTGGGGGAAAACAAGCCTGCCTATGTAGGAGGACTAAAAGATAGAGACCCAAGAGGGTCTGCCAGGCACTGGGAGAGACACCTCTGAGCCTGCTATACCGACTCACTCTTCTTCTTCCTCTTCGTCCCGCCTAGAGCAGCGTGAAGAGCATTGAGGAACCAGGAGAGGAAATCCACACCATCGCCTGGGAATGGAAAAGGAAGAGAGGTGCGAGGAATTCCCTTTTCTAAGCCAGTGGGAGTTTGTACAGCCTCTGGCACAACACAGCCCCAAGCCAGGGGGTCCCAAGGCATTGCTGACCTAGCCCTGTCAGAGTTGGGAGCTCTGGGCTTTGCCAGGGCCCAGACTGGGGTGTCCCCTGCTTGAACTGCTGAGCCATGGGTCACCTGAGAGCTTGATGCATTGCCTTTCACACCATCCCTGGCTAAACCCAGCCCTGGTGAGTGGCACAAACCTCCAGCCCCAGCTAGCGCAGCAGATAAACCTGCCTCATGTTCAAATGAAAGCTGGACAGAAACCAGCTATCAAGTTCTTATACCTTTTCAAGCACTAACTTCATAGCTACATGGCTTTTTGTAGCTGGACAGCCACTTTTATGGTGTGATAATTACTTTGCGTGTATGGCCAGTCTAAATATATCATGCGATTAACCAGTTAATTGGTAATACTTCCTTTGCATGTGTGGCTGGTTTTACTCTGCATGTGTGGCCAGTCTAAATTTATTGTATGCTTCACCAGTGAGTTGCGTAATATATGTAACGTGGTGGGGGCCAAAATGTCCCAGCAAAACCCTCAATTATCTAATCTACAAAACTAAATGCAAATCTCGCTTACAAGGTAACTAGTGCATTTCTTGGTGTAAAAGCATTTACTATCTGCTAAGTAAACCAACATGAATTTAAAAAAAAAAACCCTTGTAGTCTCTCAAGCCCTTGTTACATCTATTGCATGATTTGCTGGTGAACCACGCAATAAATTTAGGCCAGTCATATATGCAAAGTAATTACCATGCCATTAAAATGGCCATCTAGCTATAAAAAGAGCCAAGCAACTAGTGCTTGAAAATGTGTACCAATTTTACAGCTGGTTTGCATCCAGCTTTAATTTGGAAGCGTAGCAGGACCCTGAAGTATTCCCCCTCTCAACAACCCACTGATTTCCCAACCCAAGGGTCTAGGGTAACACTGACTTCTCTCCCACACAACCTGCCCTCTTCTAGCCACAGCCATACCCCACCCACTCCTGCCCAACCCCATCTGGCCCAGTTCCCCCTAACCTTGCTTGGTGATCTGGAAATTCTTCTTGCTGCAAAGCACCACAGCTTGCAGCATCTCATGGGGGGACACGTGGGCCTTGAAGTTACGGGGGTTCCATAGTTTCCGCATCAGCTCCCCGAATCGCTGAACCAACAGGAACATGATGTCTCCTGGTGGGCGCTGAATGCTCTTGTAGTTGTCTTCTTCCAGGAAGTAGTTACGGAGCGGTGGAACATTGGACAGAGCCTGGGCATAGGGGTGGGTGGGATGCAGAGTGAGCAGCCAAGTGGCCAGGCACCCTCAGGCTAACTCAAGGAAGCTCTCCAACTCAGACCCCCCTGCCCTCCATCTCTGTTCCAGGTCTAGAGACTACATGAGCCTACGTGAAAACAAAGCAGTTCTTTTTCACCCAACATGTCATTCAAGGGTAGGACTCATTGCTACCAGATGTGGGGGAAACAGAGTTCAGTCAGGTTCACAGGGATTGGACATATTCTTGGAAGAAGGGGGAATCAGTAGCTATTGAGCACAGGAGTGAGAGGCACAGCCTCTGAATCAGAACATCCTAGACTTTAAAGGCTGGAGGCTACAAGTGAGAGAAGAACAGGGGCAAAATACCCAGTTCCCCCTCTCTTCCAGCCTCTGCTCTCTGCTGCCATGTGAAACAGGAGACTGGACAAGACAGACCTAGGATCTGACCCAGTCCCTGGCAGTTCTGATGGTCAATTCTAATCGCGTTTGCTTCGACATTGAAGGATTCATGAGAACAGGAGCTGTCAAAGGAAATCCTCAGCTCCCCTCCCCCACCTGCCAAACCTATCCTAAGGGATCAACACACCCTACAGGCTCCCAGCTTCAGGGGCACCTACCTGGAGCACAGCATTGGCATAGTCATTGGCCTTGATGTTATTCAATCCCACAATGCCCGGCAGATAGGTGGTACCGTCATATGCCCGCGACAGCTTGGCCTGCTTGTCCAGGTTGGCAATCTGTTGTTTGGTGAATGTGGGCTTCAGCACATACTGCAGAGAGAGGAAAGGTGCAGGGTTTGGGGGACTCAGAGTTACAGATGTCAGCATCACACAATATGGGAGACCCCCGGGCAGTAAAAGACTTTTGCTGGGCTAGCTTGGCCGTGTGGTAAGCAATGATCTAACCCACAACAGTAACCTATAAGCAGCAGCTGATGAATCATAAAGAAGCACGGCTGGAAGGGACCTGCAGAGGTCACATCTAGTCCAACCCCCTACCTGAGGCAGGATCAGCACTGTCCAAACCATCTCAGACCCATCCATCACCTAAACTCTCCATAAGAGACAATGCTGGCACAACACCAGACATCACCTCTGAGCCTTCCACAGAGAAAGCAGGGGAGCTGTGGTGGACACCATCCTGCTGCTGTAAAGAGTTGTTAATAGATACTCCAGAAATCCCAGAGGGAGGCCGTGCCTCCACTACAGAGAAAGGTAACCCTTCCCCCACCCCCCCTTCCAAGTCCATACCAATCTGACTGGGGAAGAAATTACTTCTAGACCCCCAAATGCAACTTGGGTCTGAGCTTGAATGAAAAGGCAAGATCTTCTAGCCAGGACCCTCTGGTTTGAGTCCCAGCAGGAGCATTGGTACAGCCCAGTCGCCATCCTCATCCTGGGCTGCAGCCAACAACCAGTGCCTCTACAGAAGGCTTAACCACTTCCCCCGCCACCCGTATCATGCCTCTTAGGTGCCTTTTCCCCCAAGCCCAGCTTCTTCATCCTCTCCTTGCAGGACTTGCTTTCCAAAACCTCCATATCTGTCACCAGCTCTAGACCCTCTCTCACATTTCCACACTGTGTTTAAAAAGCGGAAGCTGCAATGACATGCAATCTAGAGTAGAGCCATGGTCACCTCCTGCATCTTGTCCCAACGCTCCTATTGATGCCTCCCAAAACCATATCCACCTTGTGTGTGGCTGCTTCACACTGCAGACTCTCAGTTGGGATCCGCCCCTAGGCAGAGATTTACTATGGGCAAGATAAGCCCATTCCAGCCCCTAGGTCTGGCTGGAGCACTGATTGCTACATAAGCTGCTTGTGCAAAGCCTTTGCTAAAGCACTGGCCTGATCAGTGCCCCTGACCAATACCTGAAGTCCTGACAGAAACAAAATTAGGCACTTGAGCCAGGAATGGGCTCCTGTCGCAGGATGGCTGGACAAGGGGTGGAATAGTTCAGTCCCAGAAGGATCAGGCTGGGATGGGAACCCATCCAGTAAAACCCGGAGTCCATGATGCCTCCAGATATTCAAGAGACCGGTGGAAGGTGACACACCATGTGCATGGACGGCTGCAGAAAAGGAACCTGGGAAAGGATGGGAACTGGCTCAGCCTAGGGAAGTCTGAGTGGGGTTGTGCTATGTCATAGAATCAGAGAGTCAGAAGGGACCTAGACAGTTCATCGAGTTTGACCCCCCGCCATGGGCAGGAAGGAGCACTGGGGGCAGGAGGGGTCATAAGACCCCAGCCAGGTGCCTATCCAGTCTCCTCTTGAAGATTTCCAGGGAAGGTGAGAGCACTACCTCTCTGGAAAGCCTATTCCAGGCTCTGGCCACCCTTACAGTGAAGTAGTTCTTCCTAATATCCAACCTAAACCTATCCTCCCTCAGCTTGTGGCCATTGTTCCTGGTGACTCCAAGGGGGGCCCTGGTGAACAGACTTTCCCCGAGGCCCTGCCGCGGGCCCCTGATAAGGTTGTAGACAGCCACAAGATCCGCCCCCTCAGTCTCCTCTTGCGGTGACTGAAGAGATTCAGGTCCCTCAGCCTCTTCTCATAGGGCTGGCCACGGAGGCCCCCAACCATACAAGTGGCCCTCCCTATGTCATAGGCAAACATATGTGTGCACCTTGGCTGTCAGATCACACGTGTTAGGGCTGTGCCTTGCGACCGAAAACCTGTCAGGGCCTTGGTGACTGACCCAAACTCACAGTTGTCTCTAAGGTTTCTTCATGCTGTGCCCCCTGCTCCTCCCAGTCCCTCCCATGTCTCAGTCCCTCCCCCAAACGTACCGTGATGTCTTCCAGTGAGGAGTCAATGATCTCATAGTTGTCAGGCAGGCAATAGAACTTAAGCGTATGGAGATTCAGGAAGACGTGGTGGCTGAACTGCACACTGTGGATGTAGGCGTGGGACTTCAGGCCGCGGCCTGCACATGAAAGGGGCAGTGGGTCAGGTGTACAGGGCACACACATCTACATGTTTGCATATATACACATCCACACACAGAAGTGTACGAACAGACACACATACACATGTATGCACATACATAGATGTTGTATATGAAACTTGTAGGGTTAAAGCAAGGCTTTGTAATGAAGATTTGTAATGACAAATAAATAGCCTCACTTTTAGCATTACAAAGCCTTGCTTTAACCCCACAAGATTCATATACAACATAGACATGCATACACAGGTATCCACATGGATTTTTTGTACATATATGCACGTACACAAGTGCATACATGTACACACGCAATTACATACATGTGTATATGTAGATGCGTACACATGCATATACGTGCATGCGTCTATACATATATATATATACACATACATGCAAACATGTACATATACAGTCCCACACAAACAAGGAGTTATGCATGTGTATGTGCACATGTACACACGTTGATTTATGTATGTATAGGCATGTGCACATGCACATGTATGCATGCACATATTTGTATTCACAAACACATGGCATATATGCACACACATCTATGTATTCATACACGCACACATATGTTTGTACATGCAGAGCTAGGCTGCGTGAACGAAGCAAGGAAACTGAATCTTTGCTGGAGCACCCTGGGCACACTGTACAGCAGCAGCAGCATTACGCTTCCCAGCTTTGCTGGCTCCTGAAATGTGAGGCCTGGGGGAGAAGCCAAGACCAGAGGAAACCACCGCAGGCCCCTGCCACCCAGTACCCCCTGCATGGTGCTGCACAGCCACATTCGGGCACTCACCCTGGAAGTACTTGCCGCAGACAAGGCAGGCGTAGACGTTGATGTGTGACAGGGAGATCGAGCAGAGCTTCTCGAAGTCGAAGTCCAGGACACTCCTGGGAACGGAAGGGGAAAAGGCTGGGTGGGCAAGGCCGGGAGGTGGCCCCAGTGCAGACCTGCCTGAGGCTGGTTCTGGGACCTGCCCCCTTATCCCACCCCGGCTCCCAGCCCTGCTCTGGAGCTGGGGCGAGTGCGTGCACATGGCGGCATGGCAGTCATGGCACACATGTAGGCACACCTCTATGCTGAGGCAGGCACATGCGTGAGATATGTGTGAGCCTATGCACATGTGCATGCCAGCGCAGCACACGTGCGCAGATGTGTGCGCGCCTAAGCACCCTGCCCCGCACCTGTTGATGGTGTCCAGGTAGGGGCAGTGGCGGCTGCGCCGGTCCTCGGGGTCGAAGCGCCCGTAGCGCACTGCGGGACAGGGACACGCGTCAGTGGCGGAACCCAGGCCTCCGCCCCCCCTTCCCTGACCCGGCCCCCCCGCGCCCACCGGTGACTTCGGGCTCCGGGTCGGAGTCAGCCTCGGCCTCGCGCTCGCGCTTGATGCGGGGCGGCCCCTCGGCTCGCTCCCGCTCCCCGGCGCGCTCCCGCCGCGCGCGCTCCCGCTCGGATTCGGCCTCGCGCTTCAGGCGCGCGCGGTCAGGCTCCGGTTCCCGTC